CCGGATCATGTCCAGTATAATTCAGTGGAACTCAGCATGTATACCGAAACCCGGCTCGGATCAGAATTCAGAGATGCCGCAGAAAAGTTTTGCGGACAATCTCTGATCTCTGATCCGGGCCGAGTTTCAGTATAATTCAATATTTATACTGAAACCATGCCTGGATCAGAGACCAGACATGCCGTGGAAAACCTTTCCGTGGCATCTCTGATATCTGATCTTTGATCCGGGCCGGGTTTCAATATAATTCAGTATAATTAATAGAATTCAGTATTTTTACTGAACCATATGGTAGATATGAGGATAATGTTGTCATATACTATATGCTGTTGGTTTATGATGTATATCTAGCTAGGCATTAGCATTCAGACCATGTGAGTGCTGTTCTAATATACCACCCGTATATACCTTGTGGAATACCTTGTAGACTGCCCTATAGAGAGTCTGAACGGACACGTTGTACTATACTTGACATAATACTCTCTATATGCCCTTTATACATCTTATAGCAGACCATCTGGATTCGCATGTAGAACACCTTGTAGAAGACCGATTATCTATGATACCCTTTGTATACCTTATAATTATAAACATATATACCCTTATGGAATACCCTATAGAATACCTTATGGGATACTTCTTAGACTCCCCTATGGAATACCCTATAGAGTGCCCTGTAGATAAGGATTTTAGATATGGAACATCAGCCGGAGCCCAAGATCTGAGAATTTCCAGCTGAGTTGTTCCTAATTGAGAAACGGATTCCTATGAAGGAGAGGAACCTACTGGTAGAAGAGTATCCTTTAACATACATTATACAAAAACCCCTGTCTATTTACCTTCAAGAGTTTCATATAGAATACCCTAGGCAATACCATATAGAATATATCCTATATACCTTGTATATATCTTATGGAATACCCTTTTGCCTACAGAGTATGCTACAGACTGTTGATGTCTTTCCTTTTTTTCACCCCGAAGAATACCTTTTATACAATACCTTATAGAAGACCCCATAGATACCCTGTAGAATGCCCCATAGAATAATTTGCTTTTCCCTTGTATACCCTAGAAAAACCTTCTAGAATGCCACCTGGAATGCCCTATAGAAGGCCTTGTAGAAAACCCTATACACGATATCCCCGGTATATCTTATGTATACCCTTGAGACTCCCCTTTGGAATACCAGAGACCCTATTTTACATACCATGAAGAAGCTCATGCAAAATACGGAAATACCTTATAGGGTACGCCCATATACCTTGTATACCGAAAATCTGCAAGTTCCCCAATTGAATTGTAATGTACTGGGTAAGATTCATACGAAGGAAATGCGAAATCTAGGATCTAGGAACTCCTGTCAACAACTCGAAACTGATCTAGTAAGGGATACATATAGAGAACACAATCCTTATACAACACCCCCTATACATACCCCATAGGATACCTTCTACGATACCTTGTGGAATAACCTAGAGAATGCCTTTTAGATTACCTTATACAATTCCCCCGATATGCCCTACTGTAAAATACCGTATGGATGACTGCCTATATGTGCTACGTCCTGTATACCTTATGTATGCCATATAGAAAACTTATAGAATACCTTATAGGGTTTAGAACCCGCTATAGAACACCCTAAAAAAGAGCCCATAGATAGGGATTTTCAGTATGGAAAACCAGATTTTGGGTAGGGGATTCCTATGAAGAAAACAAAAAACCAAGAAGATGTAGAATACCCTATAGAATACCTTCCAAAATATAGGCTACAGAATACTTTTTGTACAATACTTTATGGAGTACCCTATAAAATAACAGAAAGGGACACTTTATGGAATGCCCTGTAGACTACCACCCTGTAGTAGAATACCTTACAGAAGACCGCCTATGTAATATACTCTCTGTATACTTCAAGCATACCTCATAGAATATCCTCAAGGATACCGTATAGAATACCCTACAACATACCCTATAGCATGCTTTGTAGATCACGAATCAAATAAGGAAAGCCATCATCAACAGCCAAGCGTTTGTAGCGTAGCGTAGTATACAGAGGACAATAGACAATAGTTTGTGATATTATCTTGGTTCGAACGGTGTTGTGTTGTCGTAGACAGCGAACACTAAGCGATGATTAGTGTCTTTACGTCGGTTTGAACAGCTCTGTGTTGTCGTAGACAGGCCATACTAGGCAATACTTAGTATCATAATCCTGGTTTGAACGGTGCTGTGTCGTCGTAGACCGGGAATACTCAGCAATGCGTAATATCTTTATCTTGGTTTGAACGATGTTGTGTCGTCGTAGACGGGGTATACTATGCAATACTTAGTATCTTGATTATTAAGCAATACTTATTATCTTTATCTTGGTTTGAACGATGTTGCGTCATCGTAGACAGGGAATACTAAGCAATACTTAGTATCTCTATCTTTGTTTGACCGGGCATTTGGGGAAATACTCCGCAATACTTAGCAGTATCTTTCTCTTGGCTTGAAGGGTGCGTGTGGTCGCAGAAAGGGAATACTAAGCAATACGTAGTATCATTATCTTGGTTTGAACGGTGTTGTGTCGTAGTAGACAGGGAAGATTAAGCAATGCTCATTATCTTTTATATTGTTTTGGACGGTTCTGTGTGGTCGAAGACAGGACTACTAGGGAATGAGTAGTATCACTATCTTGCTTTGAACGGCTTTGTGTTGTCGTAGACGGGGCATACTAGGAAATACTTAGTATCATTGGTTTGAACGGCTGTAGGATATGATTTTAGACCTGTGTTCGGATTAGAGTCGTTACGTAGTCTAGAAAGCACAGCAGGAGGCTTCGAGCTAGGTTGTTGGAAAGGGGGGGGGGGGCGTGAATCAGAACAAATGCCCCGAAATCCTATCCCAATTATGAAGGCCCCTGCTTCTTCATACATCTTCCCAGCATCGTATGGGCCTGATGCTGGGATGCTGGGATTTGGGGGAATATAGTGTGCTTGCAACTGGAGCAGTGCTGGGGACGCACCGGCTGTCAGCAGCTTTAGCAATCCAGATTGTTCCGTAAACCCGGAACCCTAGAAATCCTAAAAGCAAAGACCCTAACCGCTGCAAACAATCCCGCGAGTCAAGGGGCTGGCCGATCCTCCTGACGCGACCCAGCGCCTGACGCTCGTAGGCGGCGGCAGTCTCGATGCTCTCGGCGTTCCTGGGCTGGGTTGCCCCTCTGTTCTTAGGGATATATAACCGTATAGAACAGACAAAATATGTGTTTGCGGTAGAGATGTCCGCACAGGACAGAAAAGCAACTCTGCCAGAGCGAAGCCGAGACTCATCGGATGGACGAAGAGCACGTGGCTGGCGGCCGTCAGGTTGGTGCCGGAGGCCGCGCGCTGCAGCGAGAGCACCAAAGCGAAGGGAGCATCGGGGCCGGACTCCTCGTAGAACCCCCTAGAACCATTCATCACGGTTACCCATCCCAAAGGCAGTGCGAGAGGCATCCAAGCTATGCTTTTCGGATTCTCAAGCGCCTCCTGGAATCGGCGCAGCACCTGGCCGTCCTGCAGAGCGAGCTGCTTACGCTTGCGCACATCTTCCAGGAGGTTGGAGAGGTGAAGAAACGGCACGCCGTGGTCCTGCCGTTGCATAGAATCTCAGCGTCACGAGTTCCCCCGCAGCCGCAGTAGAAGTTAGTATTAGGATGGTAGTAGGCGTCGTCGTACTGGTCGTAGTCGTCCTCGTCGTCGTACTCTTAGTCGTAGTAGTAGTAGTAGTA